GCAACCCAAACAACACCATAATTTATTCACTTAATTTAGAAAGATATTTCCAAACGAAACTATTTGACATGTATTTCACAAAAAAATAATAAGACTAATTTTTAAACTAGTTCATTTAAATTAACCGTCAAATGAAGAAACTCACTAAAAACGAAACGTCTAAAACACTTTGTCTGAAAAATATGATTAAGTTACTAGTACTGCTTTTATTGAAGCTTGTTTCTGCCATGGGGCAAAAAAAATAAAAATAAAAAAGGTAATTGCTACTAGGGTTGCAAAGGGGTGGAAAATTTTCGGTAAATTTCCGATTTTAGTCAAAAATTATTTGACTTTTTTTCTCAGAATTGCGAGGAAGAAATGCAGAATTGCAAGATTAGAAACTCACAATTTTAGGAAAAAAAGTTTTGTTTTTTTTGTTATTTAAAAAAAAATTGTTATTGTTAACTGAAAACTATTAAAATAATTTTCATATATTTATACATACATACATACATACTAATAAAAATGACAAAAACACGTAACCAAAATATTAAAACGTAAAAATATTTCCGATTTTAGTCAAAAATTATTTGACTTTTTTTCTCAGAATTGCGAGGAAGAAATGCAGAATTGCAAGATTAGAAACTCACAATTTTAGGAAAAAAAGTTTTGTTTTTTTTGTTATTTAAAAAAAATTGTTATTAACTGAAAACTATTAAAATAATTTTCATATATTTATACATACATACATACTAATAAAAATGACAAAAACACGTAACAAAAATATTAAAACGTAAAAATAAAAGCTAATTCAAATTATTAATAAATACTATAATAGTATATAATAAATACTAAAATAAACTGCAACAGAGAAATAATAGTATTTTTTTTAGGCTGGAGAGAAATTCTAGATTCCTGAAAAGTACAGCAGGGTTTCATAATTACACTGAGCTCTTCAAAGATTTCTGCACAGAACGTGATTTCTGACGATGTGACCTCCTGAAACACTGTCCTTTCTCTTTTTCTTAAAAGCTGCACAAATAATGCAGTGGATGCTTTTGGATACGGAGAAAAAATAGAAACACACGAGTCAGTCGAGCGTGCATGTAATGTATAAGAGACGACCCGTACACATGCATGAGAGAGTGAGGGAGTGATATATGTAATGCAATTCTGACTGAGCTTAATGAGGTTCCAGTGAGAGCGAAGGCAACAGCGTTTCCTGTGAACAGTTACTATTATCAACGCAACACTGTAAGATACCACAGGACTGATCACTTCATTCAAATGAAAATTCTGTCAAATTCTGCATGCTGCTTTTAATTTTTTTGTGCAAAACAAAAGGAGAATTTAGCTCTTTTTCATACTTACATTTATGCATTTTGGCAAATATATAATAATAATAACAGTTCATAGTGCCCACGTCTGTCAAGCAAAACCAACCCAGTCTCATAAAAATACGTACCTCTGCGTACATTTCTGCAACACCGTTTTTACGTACCTTACTGCACGTTTCGCCGCAGTTTCAAAGAGAAATGTCCACTGAGTGGCGCTAAAATTAATCGAAACTCTGTAAATCATACTCTGTGTGAAAATAATTTAAAAGGTGTCTGAGTTTTACTGCCTCTAGTGTTCATTTTTTTTGGAAACTGCAGTGATATGTACTTATTGGTACGTATTTCGCTTCTTGCAAAAATGTGCCCCCAGGTACGTATTTGCCATGAGACTGGGTTGAGCAAAACACAAAGTAAAAGAATCATACTCCGTACAACTTATGCACTATATTTGAAGTCTTCTGAAGCATGAGAGCTTTGTGCGAGAAACAAAGTGGCATTTCAGTTGTTATTCACTGAAAATCGTCCCCTAAGCTGCAGCTCTTAAATCTCATTCTCCACATGCACTTGTTATGAGAAGCAATGTGGTTTGATGTCAGTAACATCAACATGCTATTTGAATCTGAATGAAATTGAGAATTAAATTTCACAACTTCAGATTAGGGATGTAACGATTACCGGTTTGACGATAAATCGTGATAAAATTCCCCACGGTTAGTATTACCGTTTCATATTTTAATTATCATTAAAACCATATTAGATTACCGTGATTTGAACAACTCACGATAAACAAATACTGTCCAGCATAAAGCACAGTTTTAAGTAACAGTCTCACGTGCGCACAGCACGCAAAGTAGTTTCGTTTTGAGTAAAACGGGTGTTCGTGCGCTTGCGCGTGCCTCAAAAAAGGGCTTACAATGACTTACAAAGATACATAACAGCTACAAGTGTTCGCACTACTTGCTTTATGCAAGCACTATATCGGATCAATCACTATACAGGATTTACCCTATTATACTTTATCGACACGAATTGATAGGTGAAACAACAAACAGCCACCCACAAATAGTCTATAAACAAAGCACCAGGCTGTCTTTGAGTTCACATGAAAACTTTAAAGTTACTCGTCGTCAGGCTACAGAAGAACACCATAATTCCTCCGTTCAATTAGGCCTAAGACATCGAGTCACGCAGACCTATAACAACCCAGCCACAACACATAATTGCGAATAACATGCCTTACCTTAACACAGAATCGACCACAGAGTCCAACGTTTATATTTTTTCTACGAATCTTCATGTACTAAACATGAGTGGAATTTGCACCGCAGCGCCCCCACACCTTGATGCTCATGACAAGAATAGCATGTATAGTTATCTTTATTGAAGTGAATTAGGTTTAAATCGCCGTCATGCATGAATGAATGATATTTTTGCAATTTTACACATAATAATCCACGATGATCACATTACACAAAACTGAAATTGCACGTCAAAATAACACATTGTCAATATTTTTTGAGACCCCCCAAAATTTCACAAATCCCGTTTTCAGGGGAGCCCATGTCTTATTAAGGAGAGCCGAGCTCCCCCTAGCTCCCCCGTAGTTCGCACCCTGGCTGTAATTCAGCTTTTCCATAAGCGCCACCTGCTGTCAGCGAGTGCATTTACAGAGACTTATATTTACATTCAGCCTGTGTGCAGTTTCTGTCTGGCCAAAAACGCACCAAATTTGCATGCCCTGCTGTAAATTTTGACCATGCTATTAAACTGTTGTCAGTCAAGTTGTCATTTAAAATCCGAACATCATTGGTAATGTTATTGTTTTAGTGATTATGCAAACAAAAAAGTCATTTTATTTGTTGTTTGTTGATTTTTAAATATATAACTTGGTGAAGTGATTTATGTGTCGGTACTTTTTGAACATGTCCAACACATTTTAACAATACCGTGATAATACCGATAACCGTGATAATTTTGGTCACTATAATCGTGATAGGAAATTTTCATACCGTTACATCCCTACTTGAGATTATCTGATTATATTATACTTAACTGTGATCTAAAATGATTTCACCCTGGATAGAAGATGCAGCAACTACAAAGAGACTTTAAACAGACATCTTAATTCCATACAGGTTAGTCTGGTTCAGATTTAAATCATCTGTTGAAGACCATGAGATTTATGCTTTCTAAATGACGTACAAAGATGCACAAAAATGTTTCACCTTGTGAAAGAGTGCACTTAATTGTATTGAATGTGCACTTGTAGTGTACTTCACATCTTATAAGTGTTTCTAAAAACTGTACTTCAAGATAATATCATATTAATAAAGTAAAATAAACTCAAACCCTTAAAAGTGCACTTTGTAATAATGTAAAAAAAAACTGTTTTAAAGCACAAGCACTTGGACGTTATTCAACATTTAAAGTTAATATATTTTAAATGTACTGAATTCCAACATCTTCATATTTGAAATTACGATTTCAGTACATTTGGCAGTACACTTTAACCATATTTCAAAGACAAAAGAAATAATTATGAAATTACATATAAAGATGTATGTAAGTCCTACTTAAATGCGTCAAAAACACACGTTTAACTAATTGCATTTAATATTAATTTAAACTAATACATTTCATTTAATTGCAAATAATATGCTATTAAGTGTCTGAAAACATTATATTCAGTTTGCATTGAAGTATATTATGTCTGTAATAAATACTATTTTTAAAAATTATGCAAAAGTGCACTTCATCTTCACAAGGGCGGGATAAATACAATTTTAAGTATTTAAGAGATGACCAAACATCACTTGCACTTCGACAGCCATGGTCACTATATGAACTGTCCTTTTATGGATAGGAGATGTGTGAAGGTTCTTTAAAAACAAAAACAACTTATTTTTGTTTTTCCACTAAAAACACTAATAACATCATACAAGTTTGGAATGAGTACATAATGACAGAATTTTCATTGCACGCCAAATGATTCCTTTAAATACTATCAAAAAGGGTTTGTGTCATGCAAACCTCTGGTGCACACTGCAGCCCCAGCATGCAGCACGATGCACACTACAGTCTCTAGGCACCATCGCACGATGACGTATAGCCCCAGAGCATCCCACATCACGTGACACGAGTACACCATTTCATCAGGCATCATTAGAGGTTAGTTCACTTTCACTAGTAGGATCCCCAGCCCTGGCCATGCATCTCCTGACGTCGAAAAATCCACGACTGCATTACATAACCTTAATAATAATAGTAGACATCAGCACATATGACAAATGAACACTAGGGAAACACGTCTGTTGCATGCAATAAGTAAGTTGCATGCACACGATAATAGTTTTTCAATGTAATTAAGCTGCTGTTGGAACACACATCGCAGACTGTCGGTAAATGAGCATTAAAAAGCGATGCATAAAGCTGGAGGTTTCATAGGTTATTCCTCACGTATACGAGCAATGCATTCATAACCTACAGCATCATGCGCAACTCTGATTCCCTACAACATCGAATTATTTCCATACCGACAGATCATTTCATGCATCCGCATCGATCGTTTGCAATTCGATAGTGTCATCTGTCAAATATCGATGCGCGTGCTTTCAATGTCAATGTCAGAAAAGCTGCGCTCATCTGTCACGCGCGCTGCACACAGAGATCGCGCGATGCTCTTACCGTGTTAATCCATCCACCAGTAGCATACATATCCATCATACAAAGCGCTTATGCTCTATAATGTGCTGAGAGTCGCATTTTAGCTGTAGTATTGGCGAATCGTGTCGTCCTCACGCCTCAACTGATGAGCGCATCTGTGTCGTTACTATCCGCGCGCGTCTCCTCAGCACCGGCGTCCAATGCGTCTAATATGCGTTCAAAAGGGGCGGGGCGGACGCGACTGGTACGCGTTTAAGGGGCGGGGCGAACGCCTCCGGCTATAATGTAAGTATATTAAACCTCTGAAAGTCTGTATCTTCCGAGTCTGCCCTTACAAAGCAGCACTGTGGGGGTGCCATGATACAGTGATGATATCAAATATTATTTTTTTTCCTTTTTTTTTATTTTTTATTTTTTAATATATACTGCAGTAATACCATGGCATTCTTTCAAATAACTTGGTTCACCATCTAAATAGCGCGAGACAGATCAAAGTACCACAGTATATTTTGTAAGCCAACTCATCTTTTCAATGTGGACCTTATGGATAAGAATGAATGAATAAATAAGAATACCTTTTATTATTATTATTATTATTATTATAAATAATAATATTATATTATTTCATTATAAAAAATAATTCTTATAATTCTAATATTATTATTAATATAATATTGTTATATTAACAACAAATAATTATTATTATTATTGTTATTGCAGCCACTTTCATGCTAAAATGCGACCATTACTATCATTATTGTTGTTATTATTAGAAATAATAACAATATCAATAACAATTCTTCTTATTACTATTATTATATATATATGCTTTGTGACATATATATTGTAACACTAACAAGTTGTCAGAGTAAGAACCTGCCAGTAAACAGCCTATTATAGGGTTTCCAGACCAATTTAAGCAGGTATAGAATTAAGAAACACAACACGTGTCAATGTCAGAAAAGCTGCGCTCATCTGTCAATAAGACTTCAAAAATGCATTTTTGCACTGACTTTAACTGTTTGAAACATACAAAAACACTGACGAAAGAAAGCCCGTATGACAACTTCTGCTTAATAAATGCATTGTATCCTCTACTGTTATTCAGAAATACACAAAAATGTTTGCTTTGAATGCTGCTTCAATCCATTACAATTAAAGGGATTTGAGCTTGGTCTCGGCAGGCAGTTAAGGTGTTTGAGGGGGAGCAGATCGATTCTCACAAATTCTACTAAAAGACTTCCATGGGGACAATCAGTCTGTCGACTGCTGACCGATGTGGGTTAATAAGATCAACAAAGAACCTGAAGAACACATGTAATCAAACACACAGCTGTGAAAGCAGCTTATAAACACACCATCCTCCTCGTCCTACAGTAATTATTCAAGACAGCTTGTCATTTCACTACAAACGACCTTACACTGGTGTGAGAAGTACAAGAATTCAAATGAGCCAGCATTTTGTTTCGGAAACACGCCGTAAAAAACGATTAAAAACACAACAGCTCGCATGCATTAGAGGAAAACGCTGTAATTATGATGTATTCATTCAGGCCTCCATGACTGAAGGCTTCAAGAAGAATCAACGCTTTCATTTTATTCATCATAAATCCTCTTTATGGCTCATTTCCAAAACCTCGTGAGCTGCTGCTGTATACTGTACACTGAGATGAAGTGAGCGATTTAGAACAACCTACCGTGAGAGACACAACTCTTTGTGTCACATGATGTGCTTCTACAGAAATATACAGATTATTATCAATCATCTTTCTTTGGCAGCTTTTATCATTAAATATTACAATATATATAACATACATGGGATGGATAGAACGATGGATATATGGATAGAACAATGAATGGATGGATAGAACTACAAATAGATGAAGAGATGGATTGATAGAACAATGGATGGATGGATGGATGGAACGAAAGAATGATAGATAGATTGAAAGAGATCGATAGACAATAGATAGGTGGATAGATGGAGGTATAGAACAAATAGACAGAATGATAGAACAATAGATAGAACGATAGATAGATGGACATAACAATAGAAGGAAAGAACGATAGAACAAAAAGAACCATAGATGGATGGATGGATGGAAGGAACAAAAGAATGATAGAACAATAGATGGATAGACGGATCGATAGATGACAGATAGATAGATGGATGAATAGAATGATAGAAAGAAAAAACAACATAGAACAATGGATAGATAGATTGATAGACAGTTGATAGATGGATGGACAGATAGATAGATAGATAGATAGATCGAACGAATGATAGATGGATAGAACGATATATAGAACAATAGATAGATAGAACGATAGATAGATAGATAGATAGAACGATATAGATAGATAGATAGATAGATGGATAGAACGATCGATAGATAGATAGATAGATGGATAGATAGATAGCTAGATAGAACGATAGATAGATAGATAGATAGATAGATTGAACGAACGAACGAATGAACGAAAGAACGATAGATAGAACGAGATAGATAGATAGAACGATAGATAGATAGATTGAACGAACGAACGAATGAACGAAAGAACGATAGATCGAACGAACGATAGATAGAATGATAGATAGATAGATAGATCGAACGAACGAACGAACGAACGATAGATAGATAGATAGATAGATAGATAGATCGAACGAATGATAGAATGACAGATGGATAGAACAATAGAACGATAGAATGATAGATAGATGGATAGATAGAACGAACGAACGATAGATAGATAGATAGAACGATAGATAGATAGATCAAACGAACGAACGATAGAATGATAGAACGATAGAACGATAGATAGATAGATAGATAGATAGAACGATAGATAGATAGATAGAACGATAGATAGATAGATAGATTGAACGAACGAACGAATGAACGAAAGAACGATAGATCAAACGAACGATAGAACGATAGATAGAACGATAGATAGCTAGATAGATGGATAGATAGCTAGATAGAACGATAGATAGATAGAATGATAGATAGATTGAACGAACGAAAGAACGATAGATAGATAGATAGATAGATAGATAGAACGATAGATAGATAGATAGATTGAACGAACGAACGAATGAACGAAAGAACGATAGATCGAACGAACGATAGATAGAACGATAGATAGAACGATAGATAGATAGATATAGATAGATCGAACGAACGAACGAACGAACGAACGAACGATAGATAGATAGATAGATAGATAGATAGATCGAACGAATGATAGAGTGACAGATGGATAGAACGATAGATAGAACGATAGATAGATAGATATAGATAGATCGAACGAACGAACGAACGATAGATAGATATAGATCGAACGAATGATAGAGTGACAGATGGATAGAATGATAGAACAATAGAACGATAGAATGATAGATAGATGGATAGATAGAACGAACGAACGATAGATCGAACGAACGATAGTTAGATAGATAGAACGATAGATAGATAGATATAGATAGATCAAACGAACGAACGATAGAATGACAGATGGATAGAACGATAGATAGATAGATAGAACGATAGATAGATAGATAGATAGACAGACAGACAGACAGACAGACAGAGGGTCTGACACTTGACCTTGCTGCTGAAGCCCCTCTAGCATCACTCAGCTCACACGAGGACATTCAATCTCTCAGCAGACTGAGTCTCGGGTCCAGCTCTCTGTATTGATTTGACTCCGGGAAGGGAAGAAATGTGCTGAACAGCACACAAACACCTGCTGGCCGATCACAGGACACTGACAGAGGAGCTTCAACAAGAGACTGGTCTCTCTACATATGAAACCCAGCCGCAGTCAGCACAACCACACACACACACACATTCACACTGACACGTCCTGAGTAACTTCAGCACAGCGCTTCTCAACTGCCCAGACGTCAACCAAAAATGTGCATCATACATGCTTATGTATACAAACAGACCAAAAAATATTGCAGATAGAATACAAGAATGAGTGAATGACCCCTTAAACCTCTGAACAACTGTCAAAGTCGACTGTGAAATAAATAATGTGGAACTTATAATCAATGATATGCAAATAAAACCAATATTATACTTCCAAAGACACTTTTTATCTATTTAATAACTTGCAGTTTTGGCACAATAATTTAATGCCACTGAATTATCTTTATTAATTATTAATTATTTTATTTATTTATAAATTTTATTACAAAAGCTGCAAAATGACGATAATTCAATGGCATTACAATATTGGGTCAAATGCATAAATTACTGAATAAATCAATATACATGTTATTTTATATACATATACTGTAATATTTTCTGATGAAAGCAGTAAAATGAATATTATTCAATGATATTATTGTGTCAAATGCAAAAGTTATACTAACGAACAAACTAAATAAATATTTTATTTTTTATTTATATATACAGTACACTTTAATACTTGCTGAAGAAAGTTGCAAAATGAATATAATTCAATGACATTAAATTACTGTATCAAATGCGCAAATTACACTAACTACACTTACACTAGCTAAATATTAAATAAATAATTTTTATTTATTTTATATACACTGTAATATTTGCCGAGGAAAGCTGCAAAATGGATATTATTTAATGGCATTAAATAATTTTATCAAATGCATAAATTAATGATATACTGTATATGCATCATTAATCATTAATAATCATTAATGCAGTTAAATTACCATTAACTGCATAGATCCTACAATATGGCAAAATATTAACATGACAGGAAAATTAAACTTAACTTAAACCTTAATAAATCGTAACAAAACTCTGGGCAAAATATTGCATTAATATTAGCTATTTGACCAAGTGACAGATGAATTTGTGTCAAAATACACTGGACTGGATGCACAGCGTTTGGCGTTATAAACAGAAGATTTGGATAGTGTTTTCCATTTGAAAGTTGAAAATACTTATATTGCTATTGTAACCCCGGTTAAATAAAGCGTAATTGAAGGGAATTATTTAATTTATTCACAGTTTAGTAACATCATATTTCTTTAATAAAAGTTGAAAAGAAGTGTAGAAGTTATTAAAGAACATTTAAAAATATTAATTTATCCTATTTAGAAGATTAGTTATTGACCAATGAGAGCTTTTTGTTGTTGCGCGCCCTGCGTGTCGACGAGCATGCACAATGACAGAAGAGACGAGCCTGACGG